AGACCCCTCTAAAGATATTGAGTCACATTTCGACGCTGCAGATGCCCTTAAATAGGCATTACGCTGCGTAGAACAGCACACTGTTGCCACACCGACTCACGTGGTATTCACCCGACGCTGGCGCAACTGCGCATCACCAAGCAGATTCAGTTCTTTGCGGCTCAAGATTACCGATTTGTTAGTTTTTCTAGTGAAAATTACTGCTACATAAACATGTGATATACACGCTAGTTACCAGAGCAGTAAAGGTTGATTTCGACAACTTGTGTTTAAGCAATCAATTGTTCAGTTCTATATTAATTATAAAATCCTTTCTTTGCACTACAAATAAGCATTTTATTCACTTAGTTTGTTTTTTCTTCATCCCGAATTTTATTCCGATTATCCGAAAAATTCGTATTTGTGGGGTTATGATTAGCGGTGTTCTACTGCATTTTGAAACTAGTGTTGCTACCTCGGCACATACTTTCTCGCATTATTTGTAACGTCAAGATTGTAGTTTTGCGATGTTAAGTTTGTGTTTGTAATATTCGAAAATTAGGAGAGTTTGTCGAAAATGGGATCTGCGCCTTCTTTTTGAACGTCATTTGCTATATCCCAGGGAAACATTTAAAGAAATAATTTGGAGGCTTTTTTGAGATTTTTTAACAAATTGCATTAATTTCTCACAAAAACAACTTGACTTTTAAAAAAAATGTATATGACCTTATTTAAAGTTACAACTATTGAACATATTTAATTTAAGACAAAACCACACATTTAAAGATTTCGCAAAAACGACTATTTTTTAAAATGTACATGACTTTAACTAAACAACTAATTGGAGAAAACACATTTTATTCGAAAGAAATATAACTATTCTGAAGTTGCCCGCCGTGGTCGCACAAATTCAAACTTTTTCGATTTTGGAAAATTCAAATTTGCCACTAAAATCGCACCAACCTTATCTTTAAACGGATTCTTCACTATATTCGTATAAGAAACTTTTAAAAACGGTGCAATCTATGAGAAAATTTTCAAACTATACCACGAGTTTTATATGAAGGGTACACAAAATAAAAATAATTCGTTTCTATTTTCAGGGCTTCGATTGGTCGAGATAGAAAATGGATTATACACTGTGGCAAATATTCAAAATATTGTTTAGGTACTAATGCTCGTCACAGACGGATCGACTTATTAAAAAACAATTTTGGGGTATTAGGGTGTTTTTCCGGTGAAACGGTTTTCCGTCGAAATATCTACAATTTCCCGCAGCACTACATAATTTTATATATGGTACATATATTACTCCGTATACTCACATACGAATACAAGAAAAAATCACAAATATCTAAGATATAGTTTTCAAATCTTCCTATTAATCTTAGAACTTCTAATACAAAATAGTATTATCTATATTTCTGGCAAACTTTCCACGTAACAAGATATTAACTATTAAACCAAAAAGAGCAGAAATTGTAGCTTTGGGACTGATATCGTAGGAGATATTGATGTGTATACTAACACTATGAAAAATACAACAGAAAAAATTGTATCAATAAAGTACTCGCTGATGTTCCTTGGATCGCGTCTATCACAATAAAAAGGAGCTTCCAATTTTTGGTTAGATAAAAAATTGTGTGTTTGCTTAGTTTACAACTTCGCCAATACTAATATCCAGAAAATATTTGGTCCAATAAACTTTTCTGAATCCATTGATTTTCGGTGCTTTCAAAATTTTCAGAATAGTTGGTTGTGTGTGAAGTTCGAAAGTGAGCCTGGAAATGGAAATAAATTAAATTTTATTTTTCACTCAATAGAATTATTCCTATTTTCTGTGAAATAAATGATAGTTACATACAACGTGTCACTCTTGAAGCTCAAGTTCCGTCCTTATTTCCCTTTCCTTATGTTGTGAGAGCCACCGTACTCCCACATGCGCGTTGTAGGTCCTGATGGGCGGCGGCGACAGCGCCCCCGAAGTGTAGCCTGGCTTTCTTCCTCAAAACCACTATACTAAGCGCAACATATACGTAAATTTGTTAAGAAACATTAACATTTTTGAAGTATTTTTCTCCTTATTTAGTAATGTAACTTAATATGCCTAGGGATGAAAGAGACAAGAAAATTTATTGTTAAAAAAATATTATGAACTTTTCTTCTGCACAAGGGAAAAAAGCAAGAAATTACCCAACATGCTGAGCTTCTGTTATGAGTAATGACAATATGGATGTGATAAGAAATGCAATTAAATTACATTTCAAAAGAAAACAAAGACACCCAACTCAATTTATTAAGAAACGATAAAGAGACCTTGCCCTGTTTATCTTTTCTTGAAGTTCTTTAATAAGTACTCGTTTTAAGACGATTTATATTGCATTGTCGTGAGTAGGTGATGTAATCGAAATTCTAATTTTATATTTTTTAATTTAGTGTTATCAGTACTACTAGCAAATGCAATGGAACGACGTGGCTCAGTGCGTAGCGCGCTGAATTCGTATACATCGTCATCATCATCATCCTATCCTCATCCTCATCCGCATCATCACCATCATCATCCTACAGCTGCAATGTGTCTTGTCGCTGCCGCTATGACATTCTCTCTTCCGCTGTCGTCTTCAGCTCTGTATAGCAGTGTACTTCATTTTGAAGTTGTTCTAAACTTTCCGTTTTAGGCCTTCCTCTTCCTCTTTTTCCAACTGTTTTGCAGTCCGAAATTGTACTTAAGAATTGGTTATGCCTGAAAATGTGTCCAAAGAATCTTGCTTTCCTCTTCCAAAGTTTTTTTAGCAGGGATCTCTTCTCCTTCACTTTTTCTAAAACTACATCATTAGACATTTTTTCTATCCAGGAAACCTGCAGTATTTTTCACCAAAACCACATCTCACAAGCTTCAAAACGACTCCTATTCCTTTCTTAAAGTGTCGATCTTTCACAGTCGTACAATAGTACACTCCAGATAACACTTTTCAGAAATTTCTTTCTAATGTCCAAATTTAAGCTGGTATTTGTGATCAAATTTCTTTTATTTAAGAACGACTTCTTTCCTAGAGTAATTCGCCCACAACGAACAATGACTGTTACAACACTTTCAATTATAACTAACAATAGTGTTACAACAGAACATAACAACAAACATTTTTTTTCTAAATTGTGCAATTTTAAAAAATTAAGGAAAATAAGCGATAATGAGACTCGCGCCATTCTTTTATACGCCCATCAGAAACCTTCAGAGACCAATCAGCTTGGAACTTGCGCCGGCTGGGGCAGTGCCTGGCTAGGGGGATATTCTGAAGGAGGAAATACACCGAAAGCCGACGTGTAGGTCGGTGCGAGATCTTGGCATTCAGGGGGTGAGAACACAGCCATCTCCAGGCACAATACCATTCATTACATTAACGGGGCTAATGTGGACGTCCATAGCAGTTGACTTGCCCGGCAACATCAATCAATGCAGCGACGCGTGGGCGCGTGACGCGCGTGTGGCCCGGCGCAGCATCAGGCGCCACCTGTTGCTGGCGCGGGGGCGGGCGAGACGGCCCACCTGTGGCGCTCGGCGAGCGCGGCGCGGAGCCAGGAAGCTGTGCGCCGGCGGCGGCGGCGGCGGCAGGCGCGACTATTTTCGCTCAGGCAGTATTTTGACCGCGCCGAGTGGCAAGATGCGAGGCGAAAGGGAGCGCAGCGGACGGCGACTGAGGCGAACACTGACGCGGCGCAGGCGACGGCCGAGTTCAAGGGACTCGGAAGGGAAGGAGGCAGAGCGGGTTGACGGCGGGCGGGAACGCGCGCCTCGAACATTCAGATACGCAGGAAAAATCGATTTGGGAAAATGGCGGGTTAGGCCTCTGCAATAGTAGTAATAAATGATAAAAATGTCTGCTTTGGGTGAACGTACCAAAGCATACTCGCGCAACCACGCATCTTTTCGTTTCCCTCCTTCAACTATCCTTTTCCCTTTTTACTCTACACTTCCGTGAATTTTCTTGCTTAGACTTATAGCACGTATCTAGTTCGAAAGATAGGATCGCAAAACGTCGGTCATTCCTCCTTGTTTGCGGTATACATGATGTTTAGGAATAAATGTTACGAACTTGTAGGATGAGTAGGCGAGAGTGATAAGATTTAAAAAAAACAACATGTGGTGTGAAATTTCATAAATTGAAGTTACACACCGTGGTGACTCAGAGCATTGATGTCACTTGCAGTGCCTCCGGCTGGAAGGTCCTAGTGTTTGAAATCAGAAGTTGGCAAGATTCCCTACATAGCTAGGTCAAATTCACTTTCTATCAGGAGAACAATTCTAGCGGCAGGCTTCTTTGATGGTAGTTTTCCTTGGTTTCTCCTACCAGCACCAGGTGAATGCTGAATCAGTGCCGGAACAAACAGGCCCCGTATCACGCGCGGTCTTTCCTTCCTCCTCTTCTCCCCATTCTTACCCCTTACTCACACGCACACTTGCATGCACTACACTACCGCTCCCATAGCGATAACACATTCCCTGCACTTATGGGAATAACTACATTAGCACTTGAAGTATCCGAAAGCACTAATCAACCAAACAATCAACGTTGTTTCACATGTGACATGTGCACCTCATTGGAAGGCGCTGCTGTTTGGCAGGTCATGGTCTGACGCAATCAATGCGTTTTCGTGTACCCGCCAAACAGCAAAGAATGATCAGTTGCCTACCAGCAAGGGGTAAATACCACATTTGCAACTTTCGTATAACACGTTTCTCACCACATACTAATGGCAAAAAGTTATCACTTCCACCCCCCGCCTGTCTTTAAATTATTTGCCACGATTATTCTGACATTCTGTATAGTGTTTAATAAACCTGTCACGTCGTTTTTTCTGCCACACCAGCAACGCATTTGACAGTCCCAAGTAGATTGAGTATCCTAGTAACATCGGGAGTCAGTTTTGGCCAGTGGCAGACAATTTTTGCTTACTTTGTTTATTATTCTTTTAGATCATCGCAATTTATACAATTCGCTTACAATATTTATGTAATATGAATGCTACAAGAACGGAAAAGCACCGACAAACGGTACACTTGGTCTAAAGATCAGGGCTGCTTGAAAGCCAAACTTCGGACCATACTGATCGCAGCGGTTCCCTGTAATTACCTGCGTGCCACTCTTCTTTCTAGACTAGACCCCCAACGCGTCTCTTCCGCCCCTGGTCGGGCGGCTGCCCTTGACCAGCAGCGGGGCACTCCGGTGGCCCACATACATGTGCTGCGCCAAAGCACTCATGTGGGTGGGCCCACATGAGCATGAGTGCTATTCCGTGTACGAATTGTGAAACGTGGCAGAATATACCTTTTTATGATCCACACTCTCAGGCTATATGGACCCGAAGTCCTGCGTTAAACTGCTATGAACCGTAGGAATGAGCATTCTAGAGCCTTTTTATCACCGATTATCTTGGTTTATTTCAAGTAATTTTTATTCTGAAGGATTCAAAATAAATGGGATTCCTTACGTGCACCACAAGTATTTTCTCCTCCCTCAGCTTTCCTACAAATAGCGCTTAAAAAGGGCTCATATATCATTTTTAGTAAGAAAGATGGGAATTTTTGAAAATTTTAGAAGTTCAATTTTTTTGCATCTTCCCACAATTACAATATTGGACATAAAGATGTTTTCTTAATAAAATATGTTCTCTAAAAGCTGCTCTAGAAATAAAGTAATGTACGTTTTTACGGAAGAATGAGTATTTTTCGTAAAACTTTGCGTGAACATTTTTAAACAATTATATAATTAAAAACGACTTCAACATTTTCTTCATTTTTTCTCCGATAGAGTGTTAGAGACCCATTTTTGGCGAACTCTCTATGTTGTCTAAAATTGGCAACAACGGAGTTCAAAAAATGATTGTACAATGTTGATGATAGATTTTTCCCTTAATGACATCTTTAATTAAAAGTAGATCTTGAAAGGATGTAAATAAAAACATCTGAATTTTCGAAAATTGCGTATGCAAATATTCAGTTCTTATAAAAATTATTACGATACTATTGTTAATAAGATACTTTCAGCTTTTTCTTTAAATTTAAAAGTAATAACTTTTAAAAGTAATAGCTGTAATCGTCACCTCCTGACATGATCTCCACGTACAGGACGTTTGAAGCCAATGGTATGCATCTAATTCTAGTTTTTTGTCTTTCAATTTTGCACGTTATGTCATTACTGACGCAGTGGCCATTGCTGGTGTCTTTAATACCTTCTTTTCAGATAAAAGAAAATCTTGTGTCATTTCTGTCATATTTCATATTTTCAAAAGCAGAAACATATCGTTTCAAAAAGTAGCAACTTTTTCACGCTATTTATTGTTAGATGCTGTGCTGACAGCGCGAGCTTCGGCCCGCTGCAAGCAATGCAGTGCTCTGGCTGTGTGGGCTCGTGAGATGATACGAGCAAGCGGCTCTTATGAGGCCGACTGCACATGGTGGGTAGTAGCCGCAACCAGGCACCATCTGTCAAGGCGACGGTGCTTAGAGAGTCCTTCTCAGGGCAAAGGCTCCTGTTGTTTCTTTTATGATGAGGGGCTTGTTTTTAGCGGACATGAAATAACTCTTAGATTCTTTTCAACCGATAGTGTTGGTTTTCTAAAGAGTAATCATTTATTTTTTTAAAAGTTTATTGTCCATTTTTGAAACTTAACATTTTGCACTGCATTGCGCGTCAATTGTAAGTTAAGTTCGCTTTAGCACGGAACTTGAAACAGTTAAAAGGTTTTTGCAAGACCAAACGGTGGAAAGTATATTTGTATTTAAATGCATAATAAACATTGCAAAATAATTAATTTATACATTGATTTATTACTCTACGCTTACACGGAAATACTGTGCTAATATCAACCTACGCAAAGGCCTGCGACAACTAACCCCATAAAATTGGAGAACATATTTTTTAAATTGTCTTCACGAAAAGTTATTAGAAAATTACGAGATATTGAGAGAAAATTTCAGAAAAATTACGCAAAAATAAGTCAAATTCGATAAAAAGTGTACATAAATTTATTTAAAGATCTGTTACGATTTAAAAAAACAGAATAGATTTTGTGAAGGAAAAAAAGTTTCCTCTTCAATACAATACTTGAAGGACGACGCTAGGAAAATGTACTTTTTCTATTTTTGAAAGTTCATAGTTTAACATAAATGAAACCTGCGCTACTTTTTAAGCCTAACCGGCTCCATCCAAGGAAATAATTTAATCCAAAATTTTGAGCACAAAACAATGGGGGGTTACAAAAACCATATTTTGATGTAAAGTTTTACTTTTTCAAAATTTTCACTTTTCAAGTAGTATTTTTTTTTAAAAATTGTTGCGCCGTCGCTAACGCAACGCGTCGTTGATGGGCATTGAGAGATTACATGGAGTAATGCTTCTTTACTATCTTTGACACGTTTCGTCTCGTTGCATTCAGCCAGTGCCTTTTATTCCTTCGGCCAGGAGCCAGGGTGCCTAGGCGGTCACCCAACCAGGAACCCACAAGTCTCGAATTCGCTTATCTTCCGTGACTTTTCCGTGACTTTTCCGAGACTTTTCCGAGACTTTTCCGAGACTTTTCCGTGACTTCACGTAGCGTAGGCTAGCGAGTCCGCCGTAATAGTACTATAAGTATTCAAGTAGTATTATAATATGACGAAATCATTAAAAAAATGCAAGTAAGTACATATAGCAGTAACACTAATTTTACGTTCTCGCATTCACAGTACTCACTTTCATAGTAAAAAACGTATTATAATGGCGCAGCGTTAAGTTGATAAATCTTGTTCCTATACGTAGTAAATTACTTCAAATACGACGATTTTATCCAAAATTAACCTTCATGAATACATGCAATTCTGACATACTCGAAATCCTCTGTGCAAAAAATGCGCAGCTATTTTTGTTCAAATGTCTAAATTTTTGAAAATTTAATAGTTGAAAATTATTTTAGTGTTTCCTATATTTACAACATTGAAGTTAGTGATTTTCCTCAATGATATCTCTTTTTCAAAAACAGATCTCTAAATAATGTCATGTCAACAATTTTTTGGAAATATGAGTAGTTCTCGTGTAATTTTGCGTGAAATATATACAATTTTTAAATAATAATTTTCTCAGAAACGACTCAATTATTTCTTTAAATAATTTCTTAAATTGTATAGTACAAGTATAATATTCATGGAGGTCTAATTTTTAGTGAATTCTGTCGTATGTTTGAAAATTGCAAATAATTAACAATGCTGGGCTTCAATAGAGATTACATCGATTTTTCTTTTGTGAAATCTGTTCTAAAGAAGTAATATTGAAATAAGAATGTCGAATGTAGAATTTGAAAAAAAAATTGAAATCTTTAAATAATAACGTATTTTTTTGAAACTACGCGTATTTATATCTAATTATTTATTGAAGTAGAGGTAATTACACAATACAAAAATGCTTCATATTTTTATATGTATTTTCTCAAATAAAGCTAAGAACTATAATTGTAAAAACTGCACATATGTCATTTTCGTTGGACGGTGAATTTTCGAATTTTGCACGTTCCAAATATTGTGGGAAAGTTGGTGCTGTTATAGCACCACGAGATTCCGGGACCAAGAGCAAAGGGAGGTATCATTTGATATGAACATAAATAAACCATTCATTGGTCTGTGATAGTAGCGGTATGAAAATGAATACAAGTGAGATAAATGTAAAATCAACACGTTTGTTATTAGTAGGATTTACGTGCACAATGACCATTCAGATGTCATCCAGAACTCGTGAGTCTGTTTAAAAGCGAAAAACAATATTTATAAATAGAGCATTCACTTTAATCATGCTTAAGCCTAAATTGTTTGAAAATGGGGGGATATTTCTCTATCAGGGGATTGCCATGGGACTTTATATAATGAATGTTATTCACCTGAAATGTCTGGACAAATAATGCGACAATAAAACATATTTTTGTAGGTAAGTGGAATTGGTCATACACATATTCTAGTGGCACAAGCTTCATAAATCGTAAATATTTACATTATTTACATTATTCACATTATTCACATTGTTTCTATCCCGCTTGTCCATGCCTGTTTATCAAAGAAAAAAATGGTTGCCTTGCGAAGTGGATAATTTAAACGCTGTCAACTTAATATTACGTGACTAGCGCGAGGCATTGTTGTGCACGCGTCGCCGACCAAAACAATTCAGTTCGAGCGAAGTCAATTAAAAATTTTTAAAAACTTTAAAGAGGTATTTTTTTCGGTATTCTTGCTTAAAGCAAAATTCTCTACCATTTCACAAGCCTAAACATTATTATGACAAGTTGCAAAGCAATATATTTGAATGTTAATAAAATATGAATGTCAACAACTTTACTCCGACATTGAAATCAATATTTTGTTTTCCTATCTTTAAAAATGGTAAAGAAACAATATAAAATGTATCGTTAAATATAAAATGAAAGGGACCAGTAATCGTATTTGGAGAAATTGTGAAATTAAATATTTATAAAACACGTCATTACCTACTTACGTGCACCATCGTATACATATGTTGTTTTGTAATTAAAAGCAATATAAAAGGAATATTTTGTATCAAAATGACATTACAAAATAAAATGTAATTTATGAATTTTTTTCGTAGTTAAAATTTGCAATAAAGTAAATTTGTGAAGAAGGAAAACGTTTAGGAAATAATGTATAAATGTTAAATACCAGGAAAATAACAACAATAAGCTCTCAAAATGGTATCATGGGAACAAGAGTGAAATAATATTTTCCTTTGCTTCTCTTTTACGCCCATCCCCACATTCCTTGCTAACCCTTGGACTACTGGGTATGTTTACCGGATATCCTCCCCCGCCCCAGAATGCTGGACAAGTAAAACGGGTTTCCCATAATCCGAAAAAGCCACAACTATCTGCTGGAGAAGTTAACAGCGATCTATTTTGTTGCATTCAGTCTCGTGCCACCAACAACTTCAGAAAAATTATTGTTTGGTTGTATTGGACTGAATGCGCGGGGATATGTGTAGGGAAGTGGGTGAGCAAATTTACGCGTAAACACCCCTTGCACAGATCGTTGACTCGTAGGTGTCTGAGAGAAGATAAAAATCTTTATCCCAGGTAATTTGAGGGATCGTGGGACGTGATTGTGCGGGCAGGCGTTTTAGCGTTGTGACGAAGAGAAGTCAAACCGTCGAGGGGTTTTCAACCTTACGCTCAACTTCGTCAGGGAGCCTGACTATTATCATGTTGATTGAAGGTAAAGCTAAGGTCG